AAATTAGTTAATTCTTTTATTATTCTAGAATATTTATAAATAAATTTCTAATAAAAGTTAGTAAAACCCAGAAATACTTAGATTTCTCGAATATTATTTTTTAGGGCTAGCTATTTCCTAATAACTATAACCCGGCTAGTCTTTATTTCTATATTATTTAGGCTAATTATAAATTCCAGGAACTTTATTTTCTTTATATTAAACTCGTATTTTACTAAGTTTATAAAGAGCTAGTATTATTATAATTACTTAAGTATATATTAGATTATTATTATATATTATTCTAGGTTTTCTAAATAAATTAAAATATTATCTAGATAAATTATATAAATAATATTTATAAAGCCTACTAGTATATAATTAATATATGCCTAGAATATTACTAAAGTATTAGATAGTTTAAAAGGCATAATATAATACTTAAAATATTTATAATATATTTAAAATATTATTTTTTACTTATTATTTTTTTATATTTATAATTAATAATAAGTATTCTTTAAGTCTAGCTTTATATATATTTTTATTTTATAAAGCCTATTTATTATTTTACTAATAAGTAATAATAGTATTTAGTTCTTAATAGTAATTTTATTTAAACTCTAATAATTAATATATAAATATAAGCTATTTCCTTTCTTTAGAATAAATATAATTAGGGTATTAGCTAGGCTAGTAAAATAATGAATTTACTTCTTTTCTAAGCTAGTATTAAGATATTCCTAAAGAACTTTAAATTTTCTTTTTAATAAAGTATATATAAGACTATATAGTAATTAGGATCCTGGTTCCAGATCTATATAATACTTTATTATATAGTAATTAGGTAATATACCTATAGCCTCTATAGAAAATACTTAAAGAAAGTTCTAATATTTCCTGAAAAATATAATTATCTCGTTTATAATAATAGTAGTAATTCTTTAGCTATTTATTATAGAATAAGTAATTAATAGAAAAATATATATCTTATATTTTATTACTTTAGTAAACTTTCTAGTATTTAGAACTTTAATTTTCTATAATTAAATCTAATATCTCTATATTACTTTCCTAAAAGAAATTAGGGAATTAATCTAATAAAGCTATAGGAATTCAAGTATTATATTAATATAGTTTAGATTAAAATCATATAATATAAAGTATATATTAGTCTTTCTTTAATTCTATAATATATTTTTAGTAATAATCCCAAGAATATAATTTCTATATAAATAAATTCTTTTTTTCTTTAGTAAAAATAAGAGAATTACTTTTAATATTAATAAAATACCTATATTTAAGGCTAATTTCCTTTTTATATAATTAGTCTTTATACCCGAATTAACTAATACTTTAATTCTTTATTTATTTTTCCTTATCTTAATAGTAATCTTAATTACTATTCTTATTTTAGAAGCCTTATTCTCTATAATATAAATAAGTATAATTATTATGAGATATGCCTGTTTCCTGGCTTCTTTAGTTCTAGGTACTTATATGCCTTATAGCTAGACTTATTATAGTTATAATAAGTTAATTTTTCCTAATTCGGGCAAGTAATAATATAGTAATTCTTTTTCTAGTAAGTAAAGCAAGTTATATCTAGTCTTATAAATCCTAATATAAGTACTATATTAGACCCCGTTATTATACTTTTATTACTCTAGTTATATAAATCTCGTAATAAAAATATATTTCTTTTCTATTTTCCTTTATTATTTCTTTTCTTTTTTCTCTAATTTCCTTTCTTTTATTAACTTATTAGCTTATTATTATATTTCTATTAAGTAAACTAGTTTAAGTTATTTTTAATTCTTATAATTATAGAAATAAGCTTCTTTCTTTCTTATAAAATATTTCCTTAGTAATTAATCTTATTCTAAATCTTTTGCCTTAAGCTATTAAATAAGTTATCTTACTCTTATAATAAACCTATATATCCTAAGTTATTTAATAGGCTATCTAAATAAGATATAAAGCTTTAGATACTTTAATCTGGCTATTATTTTATATTCTTAAACTTAGTAAAGGTATTATTATTATAGTTTTCCGGATCTAAGATAAAATTCTTTATAAACTTAATAAAGATTTCCTAATTTATAATATTAATACCTACTAATTACTTCCTATATTTCTAGATATTCCTGGCTATATTCTTAAAATAGAAAGCATAATACGTAATCTTTACTATATTTATAGCCCAGGTAATCCCGCTATCTTTATACTATTTTAGCTTTACTTAGTAAAAGAAGTCCTAGGCTTCCTTAATATTCTTTCCCTTATAAGTTAGTAATTCTCGGGTTTTTGGAGCCCTATAAACCAAACATGCTATTAGTAGCGTAATAGGTTCTATAATAGGTGCCCGAATATTCTTAAGATAGTAAATCTGAGCTTCCAGATCCTCTAGATTCTCTCTCTATTATATCTCTACTTCTAACTCAGTAATATAATAACGAGCCGCCGCTAGCTTCTCCGTTATTATTATCCTGCTAGCTAGTTCTGGGGATATCTAAGTTCCACTTCCTTCTCCTAATTAGGTGGTAGCTAGAGTGGCTAACTAGGCGCTCCCCTAGGTACCCGACTGGGTCGCCCTAGTAATAGTAGAGGCGCTTCTTCTGGTTAATACTCTAGCTATTAGTGGTTTTGTCTATTAACGGCTTGACTATCTCGCAATGAACTGCTCCCCGAAGGTTAGATTAATTAGAATATAAGGCACGTAATAGCAGGGTAATACACAAGTAGTTAAGGTAAGTAAACTGCGGAGTAACGCTTGCAAGTATAACTAATTCCAAGAATTAATTCTAATAAGAGACTAATTAATGCCCCTTCCAAATCTAGGAGCGTCTCCCTATATATTCCCTAGTGCTTAGCCAGGCATGCGAAGCCCTTTACTTAATTAGGAAATCCCATACGATCCATACGATTCCGATCGCAAGCTGTACCCAAAATAGGAAACTAGATCCACGACATCTGATACCTGTCCATGCGCCATCACGTGTGCCCATTACAATCCTGAATATTTCGTTATTTCGGATTCTAAGTAGGATTTTTCTATTATTTTTAGTACTTAGGAGATAAGTACGAATAAATAAGAGGTCGGATATAGTACGGCAGGCCGTACTCGTCAAAAATTATATTATTTTGGCGATTTTAAGGTTTAGGTTATATAGTAAAGGCCGCGGCCTTTTATATATAACTTGCAGAAATTATATAAGAAAGCTGGTTTTTCTATAGACTTAGAGAATAATCCTTTATAAGTATTTAATTAATTAAGCTTTTGCATACTATATACTATTTATACTTTACTATTTATGCTTTTAATTTATTATTTTGCTATCAAGTTACGTTTGGCGCTCTGGTATACTTTATATGGGTTTTTGTCTTGTCGCAGTTTCCCTCCCACACTAGCCGAGCAAATAAATAGGTTTTGTAGCAGTTATATTTTAGGCATATACTCTGCAAATGCTTTCCTTATACGCGCTAGGAAGGTTCGGGTTAGTCCCGAGCTTGCGAGGGGGCTTAGGGTCGGGGGTTAGGGTTAGTCCGGGGGGTTGGGGGACTGTGAGAGCCCCCCGCATTGGGATATATTAAAGCGTAAAGGCCCTACAGGTTAGGGTTAGTATATGCTAGATACATGGGTTCTATATACCGAGCATATACTAAAGCAATAGTAATAGTAAAGCAAGATATATTCTAACTTACTTATATATTTCTTGGTAATAAAGGTAAAGTATATACTCGGTATATAGGTTCCAAATACCGAGCATATATTACAGGTAGTAATAGAGCAAAATATATTCTAGCTTGCTTGTGTGCTTCTTAATAATAAAGGTAAAGTATATGCTAAGTATATGAGTTTCATAAGCCGAGCATATGCTTTACCTTTAGTAGTAATAGTAAAGCAAGATATATTCTAACTTACTTATGTGTTTCTTAGTAGTAAAGGTTAAGCATATGCTAGGAGTATGCCTGGCGGGCCGTTGGGAGAAGGTCGGGATTGGAAGGAGGGTGTAAACGAGGACTGGTGTCTATATATCATTAAAGCTAGTAGATATAGTGTGGTTTTGGGTGAGGAAAGTTGATTCATATTATGGAAAATACAAGGGTATTCTCGCTAATTAATAATATGGTTCAACTTAAGCAATACTATGGTTCAGTTACTGGCTCGAAGAAGTCCAATAATCGTCAGAGTTAACCGAAGACCAAGTTTGTTCTAGCACGAAGAGGAAAAGTTATAGAGTCATTTGCTTCAGAGGGTTCAATTTTGCTTGGGACGATCATTTGCTTAGTACAACCAATTTGCACAAGAATAATCATCCAATTCAGCCGGAACGTAGTTCTCCAGAGGCTACAGTCAGTACCAGGCAACCCACGCCCGCAGCGCATTCTATCCGATACGGTCCAAAACAGAAGATGCTAAGGCGAAACTGTGGAGAATAAGGGCAGCCATTTTACTGGTAACACGCGCTCTTGGGCGTGAGGAAGGCTACTTTCTCATCTGACCGTATCGTACCAATGTATGCAAGCGCACGAGTCTTAATCGAACATATATACGTACGATCTATTAGGTCGTATAATGGTTTTGTGGCGGCGGAGAGGGGTTCAAGCCCAGGATGTAATAGCTTGGCCTAGACCAAAGCTATTCTAGGAATGGCATCCAAAAAAAAAAATCCAAAAAATCACGTGAGCGCGTGGCACATTCTGCTTGTGGATGCAGCAATGGCCCACCAAGCGGCACACCGGGGCTCCTGCTAATGGGAAAGTTAAACCCGTTCACTTCGTTTCAGGGCATTTTACCAGAACGATTGGTGATCTGACCCGTGACCTGTTTAGATAACACTCCTGTGTCATCTCCGTGGTGGCTGAGCAAAAGCAGCCATGCAGCCTTGCATCTCAGCTGAGGTTAAGAATTTGAGCTCCCCACAAGCAGAATGTCACTCTCTCCCGCAACGAGATGCAAAGAAAATTGTACCGCATCGTTAACTTCCAGGCTCATCGAGTCAACCCGAGAAGAAACCATGTCTGACTATCGATACCTCCGATTACTAGAGCCAGGCAGCGACCTGCGACTGATCCAAATTCTCCCAGGAGATGAAGGCGAGGACTTAGGGTGCACAATTCGAACTTACGACAATCTGAAAACACCACCATACCAAGCCTTGTCATATACCTGGGGAGATCCGGAAGCTAAAGTTAGAATCACACTGAACGGGAAGAGGTCCTTTGTGACGCCCAATCTCGAGAGTGCTTTGCGGAGCATTAGATGGAAGAGGGGAGTTCTGCCATCAATGCAGGAACACTTCTGGATCGACGCTGTGTGTATCAATCAAGGGGATGCCGAAGAAAGGGACGAGCAGGTCCGACGGATGAAATCCATGTACCAAGACGCTGACGGAGTGGTTAGGGGACTATGAGGAGCGTTGTGATGAAAGACTTCAGATAACTTCAGGCCAATGGGGAACTGAGCGACTTGAGAAGGGTACCGAGAGCGTAGCCAAACAGATCGTGGGGAATCTACACTTTTGGGCAGACGTGTTGTCTCTACAAGTAGAGCCCCAAGACACGGCAGTCATATTTGGACCTATTAACGCTCTCGGAAATCCTCAATTCTGGGCCCAGATTTCCAGACTCTTCCAAAGGCATTGGTTCGAGCGCCTTTGGATCATTCAAGAACTCGGAGTTGCTCGTCAGGCTATAGGAATGTGGGGGAGAGCCGCGGTTCGCTGGGAGTGCTTGGAACAAATAGCATTATATATTCTCCGACCAGGATCACACCCAGCAGGGCCACCACCTCCGGATATCCTCAAACTCTTTCCTCTGATAGGTGCTCATCGGATTAAACAAGTGTCTCTGAAAAACATGTTGAACCTGAATACCAACAATATCTTGACGGTTCTCCACAACACACAAACCACCAAATGCTCAGATCCACGAGATAGACTGTATGCTATCCTTGGAATCGTTTCCGACACTATAGATCTTGATATCGACTATTCTATTTCCGTGCAGGAAGTATATCGAAATTGGGCAGAGAAGCGAATTCGGCGATCCGGCACGCTTGATATTCTGAGTGCATGTGCAGACTCCGGTAGATCTGGCGACTTACCTTCATGCGTTCCTGATCTCCGTAGTCAGTTTGGACAAGATAAGCCTCTCTGGATGTGGACACATACTATAGGACCCCGATCAATGGTAGACTCCTATGGGGCTGGCGTAGGGACTAGGTGCAGATCACTAGCGTTCTCGCAAGATGGGAAGGAAATTTCAATTGAAGGGCGGTTTGCTAGTCCAATCAAACTCATAACCACGCCTGGTGATGGTGTGGCAAATCCCAGCGACCCGGCAGACCTCAAGTCTCGGCTGTGCGAGATCATTTCCGGTTGGAAAGAACAAATATCTAATCAAATTGGCGTCACTGATGGATCCTTTCATCGAGCACTTTTACGGAAAGACCCCTGGATGCAATATAGGACCTGGGCTACATGAAGGAAGAATTTGGTGTTTGGAGTGGCTTTACATCCATCCTACAAAGCTTATCGATTGATGGTGTCTTGGATCCCCAAGCACAAGAAACTGCCCTCAAGAATTTTGAACACTCACTTTTCTCCAAATTGCATGGCTGCCAGATGTTCGTGACTTCTAAAGAGAACCTCTGTGGTATCGTCGCAGTTAATTGCCAAGTATTGCCCGGAGACGAAGTGGCATTTCTTACAGGCGGGCTTACACCGTTTGTCCTACGTCGGATTTCAGTTACAAAACATCGTTTAATGACACCCTGCTATTTGGATAGTGGAATGGATTGCATGATGTCTCTTGGCTCCTCGGCAGGGTTGGGGGAAGAGTTTCGACGTTGGGTTGATCACCCTAGACAGACAATTACTCTGGTCTGAACAAAGCTGAGTATGGAGTAGCGATTCGGTTTCGTAAACTCTTTCCATGGACCAGTGTTGAGCAAGTTATCCAGGGCCTTGTCCGTCTCGGCGGGCAGCAGAATATCAACGGTCCAATTCTCATATTTGGTCGCGGCTTGCAAAGAGTGCCGTCAATGTTTCCAATCAACCAAAGAAGCGCTTGTGTAGGCTCGCCTGATACGTTATGGTACAAGGTGTAGTTCGAGGTCCCCTTTACCCATGTGTAATTGGGAGAATTTATATTGGTTACATTGTTCGGAAAGGAGGTAATTGCGTCTCTACCTCGTGGGTGAAGTCCGAAAGGATGTGCAATCGGCGTTACAGAAATGGCACTAGAGCTACCAGATGGGCTCATTATATTGGTAGTCGGCGTCAAGCCGGTCTGGTAGAATAGTCCCCAATGAATGGTACAGTAATAAGGTTTTACACGAAAGAGGCCCAAGAAGGATGACAAAAATAATGGTTGACGATGACGCGACTAGAGGTTCATCGAAGCACTACCCTTGTACTGCGCCTTACTCCAAACGGTAAAGGGGCTGCAATAGGACATTTCAGGGGGTAAAAACTAGCTTTCGGATGCGATATCTTTTCTCGAATCTCGAGTCCCGAATCCAGATATCTGGAATCCAATTACCCACTACCTGGTTCAGCTGTCGGAACCCCTGCCAAGGATATCGGTCGGCAAGGATATCGGTCTGCAAAGGAATCTGGAAAATTGTTGGTACATATGAAAATATTTGCACAAAAAGATATTTGGTGCCTGGGGAATAGTTGAATGAGATGGGGAGGGCCCAAGCCGGCAGAGGAACAGAGGTGAGGAATGGCGGCATCCTTTATTGAATTTATCGATGGGTTACATATCACTTTACTTTGAGGTTTCAACTATAATATCTGTTTTTAATATTACAATAGTATAATTGTGTGTCTAACTAAGTTTAACTGCCACTCGCTGCCCTGGGAACGAAGGATGTCGCTGCTGGCCTCCTGTCACGTGCTGCGCATAGGCGTATATATAGTTTCTTCACCGCCCTTAGGGCACCATCATTCATACATATATTTACACAAACACACCACATTCCACTTCCACAGCTTGTCCAGGCCGTGACACCTCCTCGGTCTCGTCCGGTGCCACCGCTTCTCCCCCCGTTGCTTTTGCTCCCTATGGCCGCGATTCTCGTCGTTCGTAACGGCGAGGACGGTCGAGAGTATCGCGCTGGCTCCTCTGATCTGCGTTGAGCCCCCTTTTATTATCCGTGGCAGTCGATCTGGTGGCGTGACGGCTCAAGCGAGTAGAGAAAAGGTGGAGGGGCGCATACAGCGATATTACTAACTATCGTTAAAATCGCGTTTTTAGCGAGAACCACAAATCACTTCGAACGCATACACCCACCGAGTTCCATAAATCAATACCTCTTAATTTCTCAACCACCACTTATTAAAAACTCCTGAAACTTCGTATATATCTGGGGGGCTATGCCTCCTACTCGCCATTCAAAGCGCGTGCAAGGGAAATCACCAGATCAGATACTTTCCTCCGGCCGGGCGCGAAAACCTCCTAAATCCTCACTTGCCGCATTCGACGCGTCAAGACTACCTCCCACTACTTCTAATCGTGGTACCGGGCGTCGAAAGGCTAAAAGACGACCGGGGGCATTATCTCCTATATCTCTTACTCTTGCTCCTGAGCAAATAGCTCGTGGATTAACTATTAACCTTAATAGTACTCCCTTGCAAGTTACCTCTCCGGTTATAGCTTTATTAACGGCGACTCCTTCTAAAAAGGGCAAAAATCAAGCTATTATACTGCCTTTTAATCCGACTAGCTATTAGGACAAAGAACCTTATTATATGGAAATTATAATTACACCGAATATGGAAGGCAGAAAAAAGAACCGAGATTTGATTATTATTAGTATTAATTTAAGTAATTACTTTTGTAATAAGCTTAATGCTCTTTAAGACACCTTTTATAATAATTACGTTAAGAAATAGGAAAAAACTCGTAATCTTATAAGTAATAATAAGCCTAGAAAGCTTTATTAGGCAGTAATAATTAGTAATCCAAAAAGTAACTATAAAATAATATAAGTAAGAGACCAGAAATTATAGGAACTTATTAAGGCTAGCCTCCGTTAAATAAAGTACTTTAGTAATTATAAAAACTATAATACTCTCGTAATTAAAGCTTTCTTTAAGACTATTAATTAAGCTTATACTCTAGAAAACCCAAAAGCTATAAATAAAGCTCGACCAAATATTATATGAGAAATACTACTTTATAATTTAATAAACCTATCTTTAGATAATATTACTAAGAACTACTTCCCTAATAAACCTGCCCTCCCTATATATAAGACTTCTATTCCGAAACCTCGAGATTTAATTACTAATTAATAGCTTGCCTAAAAGGCCATACGAGATTCGAGTATAAGCATAAAAGAGGCTATCTATTTATAGATCTTTAATATATATCTTTATAGAAAGAAAGAAATTTATAATAATACTAGAGGTTATTACTATAAACTAAAACAAAGCAGGACTTACTATAAGGTTTCTCTTTTATAATAGAACAAGTAGGTAAAGCATATTATTATTAGTAATAAAAATATTACTATTAATAGATTCCTGCCTAAATAGATTACAAAATATTAAAATAAGTAAAATAAGATAACTATAAAAAGAAAGAAATATAAAGCTAATTCTGCCTAGCCTATTATTAAACTAGTATTTCCTTTACTTATATAACCTCAAGCTCCGATTATAAACTATAATATGGCACTAGTTCTACTTACTTTAATTTAATTAAGATTTAGCTATAGCTACGGGAACTCTTATTCTTATCCTTAATAAACTTATACTTAATTACGTTAATCTCATTAACTTAATTACTAGTAAGCCCTCTTGCCTTTATTACTAATTTAGGAAGTTAATAATAAAGAAGCCTTAGTAAAATATAAAGAATTCTTGCTTTAAGACAAATCTAATCCTTCTTACTATTAAGTAATTAAGAATAATATAGACATAGTATATATATAATTTCTTAATAATCTTAAGATACTAAAATTACTAGTAATTATAGAAACTCTTGAGAAATATAGGGTTCCTTTAGGAATTACTATATTAATTATTAAGAAAATATCCGAATTTAAGAAAATATATAATAGATAAGTAAAGTTAATAGCGGTATAAGAACTTATTAGTATAAGTAATTCTTAATTAATTACAAATTAACTAATTTAATAATTGTTTTTCTAGTTTGCCTTATAATATACTTACTAATCCAAAGGATATAATAATAGGGAAAACGATCCTATATAAGATAAAGAGATAAATTACTTTAATAATTACTAGTAGGGCATTTATAAAGAATTACTATTAGAATAATAAGTAAAGTAGTAATATATAAAGTTTTATATAATTAGGTTTAGAAATAGGGTTATTTTTTATATAAAATAATTAAAAAGCTTAAAAATAGATAGTTATTAGGGTAGATATAATTTTAATAATATTAGATATTTTAATTCAACTTTTTTAGCCTATTAATATATATAAAAAATATTTCCTTTCTATAAAAATCTATAAACTAAGGATATTAAAAAACTAATTAATTAGTGAATTTTATATTAAATAAGACTAAGTAATATACTTTACCTATTTACTTTATATTTACTCCTATAAAAAGATATAAAATATAAAGAATAAAAAGGCCAAAACCGCCCTAAAATTAACCTAATTATCTAATATCTTATATATTCCTATATTTCTGAAATATCCTCTAGCTTAATAAGTAGCCCCCGTACTAGTACTAACCTCTCTTATAGCCCATTCTAAGAAGCCTTAATAAGTTAAATAATTCGAATATTTATAGTAATAATAGTATTAAATAAAGGCCTTTAAGATACTAAAGAACTTCTTAATAGGATTAAAATCGGGCAAGTAAGGTAATAGAAAGCATACCTAAATACCTCTTTACCTATAAGTATTAATAATTATATATTAATAAAATTAGTATACTAAAGCATTATCTATTATAATAACTAAATAAGGACCTAAATATGAGTTATAGAAAAAGAAGAAATTATTAATAATAAAGTCTTTAAAGATATCTACTATATAGGTATTATAAAAGATTACTAACTTAATATATCCCTTAATTATATATACTAGAAAAACTAAGACTTTTTCTCTTTTAGCTAGCTACTAATAAACTCTAGTATAAATCCCTAAATTAGCCTACCTATATTAATAATCTCTTATTTAATTATTACTTCCTGATTTGTCTATATAAATAATTTAATCTATAGTAAAGTATTAAAGATTATCTCTTTATTAGGTACATAATTCCTTATTCCTTTATACTACCTCGATTTTTAACCTCTTTTATATAATCTTTATTCTCTTAAGAACCTAAGATATTATAGACTAAGAGATTTCTATATTAAAGATATTAAATAAGAACTTAGTAATTTCGTCTTAGTAATACTATAGTATCTAATCTAATAAATACTTAATAGCTTATTCTATTAGTCAAGTAATTATCTAGCAAGAACTACCTAAAGGTTATCTAATATAAAATCCGGTATTAATTCATCTCTTATATTAATATATTATCTAGATAGTCATATAGTAGCTCAATACTAGCTATATAATATATATAAGAGTAATTAACTCGGGTAGTTCGCGAAGAATATCTTTAATCCGGGCGACTTGGATTACTATCAAGTAATAAGGTATCTGTATTACTAGCCCAGTTAGCAAAAGGTAGAACTAGATGCCCCCATTAAATATATTAACTTTCCTTCGTAATTAGAGTTGTGGTTATTAAGTAATTCGCGGAATTATAATTAATGGTGGTGAGTAAACCGAGGTCGACGCGTGTTTTGTGTTCTCGCTTAAAAACGCGATTTTAACGATAGTTAGTAATATCGCTGTAGCAGGTCTCTATAGGTCGCCGTAGACGTGTCACGGGTCAACCCCTCAAACCACTCAAGCCACCCAACCCGCCCACAGGAACACCAAAAATTTAGACTTTTCAAAAGAGTGTTCAAAAAATTCTAAACTTGTAAATGATACAATAATTGAGTCGGCGATGACAAATATGAACTTAGTTTTCTTATTCTATGTCGCTGTTGTGATAAAATCCAATCTTGAGCGGTTGAGGGGTTTGGGCGAGTCGCAAACAAGCAAATTCCCTTTCGATCTCCAACTTGGTGTGGTGAGGCTGCACAAGACGCATGGCATGGCAGCAAAGCCTCACTCGACGGTAGGTAGCAATGTTTCCTTACGCTTTATTGCTTTCCTCTTTTTCGCAATAAAGACACGCCTTTCTACTCTAGCTCCTAATCAAATAACCGCGAAGTGGTATTCAGTCATGGCAGTGCCATTTGGCTTCTCCGTCGGCGACTGTATTGCCGTTTGTCTATTGATCAAGGATGCAGTCAAAGCCCTGGATGACAGCCGCGGGGCATCTGCAGAGTACCAAGAAGTCATTCGGGAGCTTTGGTCCCTCGATCGCGCCCTCCTTGAAGTCGAATTGCTCTCCCGAATATACGAATCGACCATTGAGCTGAATGCACTCAGCTGTACTGCAAAACGGACTGCGGAGCAATGCAGAGTCTGCATCGAAGGATTCCTAGATACCATCAAAAGATATAACAAGGCATTGAGACAAGGTGGCTCTGGTAGCGTATGGAGAGACGTGAAAGGGAAGGTATTATGGAGCATATTGAGGAAGGATGATCTGTCCAAGTTCAGGACGGAGATCAATACACATAGTTCTGTGCTCAATATGCTCCTCCTCACTGCAAATCTGTTGGTTTCTTGGCGCACCCTTTTAATTCTATCCTTACACTGACACAGGAGCAACAGATCCCTTGCCAAATTAAACGACATGAAACTCAACGAGCGCCTCCGTGTTTCAGACAATCAACTCAACCAGAAGCTCGACAATAATACAAGAAGGCTAGACGCACAAGGAAGCGTGCTGGCCAGACTAGCTGATGGCATGTAAGTGGTACGCATTATAGCTTATACCCACTACTCACAAGACTCAGGACGTATTTTCGTACGCTAGGAACGGAACTTAAGAGCTTTATGACCAATATTTGGACTCTGAGTTTTAGTAGCTACAGAATCCTGCTTGATCTCCAAACCCGCGTTCCACGAGAATTTGGACCGTGTTGGATTCAAGAGCCACTCACGTTTACGGATGCATTAGGCCGTATTGCCCCCATTCATCTCGAATTAATTAATTCGTGGGACGTGTTTGAAGCTGTCTTAGAAGCCCGATTTTTGAATTTCCCCGGAGAACGCAAGATCAAGAGCAGGGAATATGCTATTTCAGATAGTGCGTCCGAGCAAGACCTCGTACGATCACAAGCATTTGCATTAGCATTTTTACCCGGGCGACGCATTGATATGTGCATGCTGTTTCAAGAACAGGGATTTGATAATTGTTGCCCAGGGTGTGGGCAGACAAGTGATAGTCTAGATTCTACAGCGACTACTTGGTAAGTCCCGCCAACTTCTATTGCACTTATATCGCTGTTAACAGCTGCAGCCTAAAATGTGGCCTGTGGTTTCGGCGGATCCAGGATCTTAATGAGGTTCAAGAAGTACCAGTAGAGGAACCTGAGGTGCTACAAAATTTCGATATATTCACGCCAGTGACTTTACATGAGCAACTCGATGGACTGCCCATTGTCGACCTTATCTCCAACAACTCCCAAAGCAACCGAGGATCGAGTAAACGAAAGCGAGACGCGTCTTATTTCTATCAAGAGGATGTGTCGTCGTTCAAACGCGTCCGTCTACTACAACGAAAGCAGCAGCACCGGGAACATATTGAAGAATTCGTCTCTCGCTTGGGTCGATCGGTCTCGGCCTTAATCAGAGAACACTGCGCTCCAGAAGACCTCCGCTATAATTCCGAATATGCTGTCGGAATCAACTTTGGCTTTGGTCCACCAATTGACCTTTGTGTGTGTCCCTTTACTCCCAGAGATAAAAAAGCCCCCCGCAGCTATCAGAAGCACGAAGGAAAAGACAAATTCGATGTGCAAGAGACACTCCCAGTCTTCATGGACCTGTTCTCGATCGAATCACATGCTAAACAACTTGATACTTGGCTTGATGGAACTATCGATTCCGAGTTTGGGCCTCCCGAGTATGTTGACTTGATAATGCTCCGGCAAAAAGACTACCATTTCTCGCAGGTTCTAAAAGCGTTAATCTCTTGGTATATGGCATCTAAGAACAAGGTAAAGTCTTCATCTCATTATCTCGAGTTCCTGTAGAATTCAGCTATCATATGTTAGCCGAGTCAAATAGATATTGACTATAATACCCAGTTCTCGGAGCCAGCACATCAAATATTGCGTACCGCATTAAAGCTTCTTATAACAACAACTCTCCTAAGCCTTGTCCCAAAAGTTATAAACCTCCCTGGATCGCTCTTCAACTACTTATCTTTACAATCTCCTGCTCAAGCTGCTACCCATCTTTCTCTTGAGGCGCCTAGGCCTCTAATCTGCCAAATAAAAGCTAGTATCTACTATTTACAACAACAATTCTTACACGCTCTTTTTTTTCACTTTACCTATCCAATAGAGTTAGACGCAGACATCAAAATAGCAATTGCATTATTAGTAGCATATGTGCTGGACCTAGCGAGAAATGCGGGTCGAGAATTTGAGAGGAATATACGAACCCAGTTGTTCCAGAGAGTTTGGGCGAGCGTTCTTAACGCGGACGTGAGGATGGGTGGATTGGCTGAGAGATTGAGAAACCTAGGTATGTTTTCTTTCGAATTCCTCCCTCATTCCTTATTTTATTTTATATTATTTATAGAATATCTATCAGATCCGCTGACTTACAACGTAGATTCGATCGTGAAATGGAAGGAGAAAGAAAGTGAGGAACACCAATTTGTTTGCGCTATTTTAGAAGCCGTGTTGTGAGGATCCAAATCCAGCCACTATCAGATTGACGATTTCTCTGTATATTTACGCTTAGACGGCTAGGGCTCTGAGCACTGTTCTTTGGTGTTTATTATACAAATGTCATTTATGTTGTGATACGAATGAATAAGGATAGATCATGTGCAGTGCCGGCGCTGGTCTCAGGATCACGAAATCAATTATTATTTTTGCTAAAGTGATATTCTGCGATGGGACCAGAGAGTATCGACATCCAACTGGTCCCTTGTGTGCGCTCCCTGACTCCAACGACATGAGTTTCCATATCCGTTTTCTCCTTTCTCGGCCTGACAATAGATGAATGAGCGGTCTTTGCTGGCGAGCCCAATTTCTCCAGTCAAATAAACCTATGAACGTAATGGGAGCTTGAAGCGGAGTTGCTGCTATAATTATCACTTGCGTAATGCCACTGTCACTCCCTTTGATACAAAGAAGCTCATCATTCATCAAAGAAATTCAAACTAGCCAGGGGGCTAATTCTGGCAGTTCTAAGCCTTATTTCTATTACTTAAGGCCAAAAATTTTTTGGGGCAAAGTAAATCGCATATTTCTACAGTGCTTTCTCCAGTAAATAAGATTCTAGAGCATAGCCTGAAGCATTATATAGAGTATAATTTAATATAATTATTATTTATATTTATTCTTGCCTTATATAAGAGTGCCACAAAAGCTGCTAGTATAGCGTTCGCTTGTTTTTAAGCCAGAAATCATAATTTTAGTACCAAAAAATGCATATATAATAATTATTAGAAAAGTTATATAAAATTGAAATTCACGCCCTAACAAAAACAGATTAGATTAATATTTTAATAATTACTCTTTATTCTAGCGCGTTTTTTTTAAATATTAAAAGACATTAAATTAGCCTAATAAAATATTCTTTTATATTCTATTATTTATTAGTAATAATTAATTTAATTATAGGCAAGATAATTTATTACTATATAATATTAAATAATGCCTTATTTTATTTTATAACTAGCCCAGATTTTGAGTTCAATTTTATATAATAGATTTTATATAAGAATTAATTTAATATTAGATTTCCTAATATTATTATATCTAAATTTAATTGAGATTTGATAAGAAGGATCCAAAGCTGCTCTAGCAGGAACCCTGTAAGGGAGCAGAAAGGGATTCCCGGGCAAAATCTGGCAAGGAAACTGTAGCCGGGGCGCACAGGAGGCCAAAATGTGTTCTACATTATGGTGCGCAGGCTGACTCAGGGGCGTACTCAGGATGCTCAGGCTCTACTCAGAGACAAGAACGGAACCGGCGAGGATGAGATTAGAGTCCGGCTTTCGTGGTAGAAAAACCTCTTCACTCGCAGCCCAATCGCCCGGTCATAATTAGGGTTATGCACGTTGGCACGTATATCATCCCCGCACGACTACGAAGATGTCATTTCGTATTGCTCTTGCATTTATCGGCTATGATTGAAGACTCTGCAAAACCCATATGATGCTCATCCATGCGTGACCGTCCCACAAACCAAACGACAAACCAAGGAGAAGCCGGACCCATTTGTCTTAACGGCTCGTTGCCTGGACCTTCTTTGGCGCACCCTTCGCTCCTTGCTTGCTCGTCAATCTCGAAGCCTGTCCCTTCGCGGCGCCAGCAGCAGTCTTTGCCTTCTCGGCCTTCTTCGCACTCTGAGCAGCAGCTCGCTTCTCCTTGCCCTCCTTGATAGCAGCTTGGCGTGCAGCGGTTCGGGCTTCGGGTCTCATGGTTCGTCGCTCCTTGATGACATCGAGAGAGGCACCGACGATAGCACGTTGTGACTTGACTGTGCGGCGGGATCGCTTCTTGGCAACTTCCTGCAGGGAGGGATCGATCAGCGTTTGTCCTTTACATCCTCATTTCGTCTCTCTTATTGCCGAGCCCATCTCGTAAAACCAAACTGTTGAAAATGCCATACCTCAGAAATACCCTTCTTGTGTTGTCTTCGGAAAAGGACAGTCCATGCAATGCGACGGGGGTTCTTGCGCTGCAGGAAGAGGGATTCGGTCTTGCCATTCTGGAATCGGAAGATCTTGCTATCACCACGGACGTAGAGCTTGCCCTGCACACCATTCTGTCAGCAACCCGTCTTCTCTCGAACCCAATCCCCCAAGTTCTTGTTCTGCCAGCCCATTCAATCATTCCTTGCCACCTCATTCCCGCCCTTGTCGTCGCGCACAGGAAGATGTCCGTACCTTTCCAGGGTAGATCTTCTCGCCGGAGAAAGTATCGTCGTAGGTACGCATGTTGGCTGCTGCGTATGTATCCGCCGACTGTGTTAGTTGTTGATTCGAGAATTGATGTCGTTGATTCCAGTCACGTCAAAATCGCGAATTCTCCTGTGTGGGCTGAGTCAGCGATTCGCTTATTTTAGCGCGGCCCTAATTATACTTCGTATCACGATTTGTTATCGCAACTTCAACTTCCAGCCTAATCAACATCAAACCCCGAGAGAACCCGTCGGGATGATCGATACATGCTGGGTGCTCCTAACTCTTGATTCCACTGGTCAGATGCTCATGTTCTGCTCCATGCTTGTTGCCAGAGGCCGCCAACATCCGAGGTTTCCAACCACGTGATCGATCACGTGTCAACACATTGAAAACAGTCCTTCGGCTTTGACAGCCTACGAGTAGCCCGAAAACCCTCTCGAAAGCCAGTTCTGAGCTCCAATGGCATTTGCTCCTGAGCTTGTCGTTTCTGGCACTCTTCCCAGCATCGAGCAGGCACCAGGCAAAGCATGGACTCCTCTCTACCGTCACGGATGTTCATTTCCACCCGAAATATTCAGAGAAGTCATGCTGAACCTCATACGCAACCCGAACATCAATTCGAACCATCTATTTCGAGCAGATATATCTCTGGACTGTCTGTTCTCCAAAGAGTTCCTGCCCGAGTCAAGCATTTCTCCAAGAATCGAGCACTTCAAGGGCTTTACTCTGAAGACTATCATGGTACGGACTATGATTCCGAGGAACATTGTTGTAGATAGGCCGTTGGACCAGACATGTCTCCTCTACGACCAAGCCATGGATTCTGGCGAGATATTGTCCCTGGTCATCTACCTGCCGCACATCACATCTGCAGCGGAGTTACCTTTCTACCACCCTGCTGTGCACGGAATAGGATTTCTACACACCTATGACTCTGTGAAGCGGGAGGGAGTGATTTCCATACACTATTCTTTTTTTGAATCCGAGCCAAGATCGGTCAAACTAGAACGAACTGCACTACATCTGCTTGCTGTTCTGCACAAGCATGGCCAGGGCTTGGTAAATGGATATGTCAAGAGAGTAAAGCACGACGTCATTCTTCCTCAAGCAAAAGTCCAGAATACCTACGCTCGATTAAAAGCCAAGTATGCGAGGTCATTGAGTCAAGCATGGGTAGAAGATACAGATCCAGGAAAACATGTGTTTGAGGATCTTGGCATCGCAGCCTTTCTGATCGAGCTATGGGCAGAAATGTACAAGGATATTATCTTTCCTGGGTTCGTCGATATTGGATGTGGCAACGGATTGCTCGTTCATCTTCTGATCGAAGAAGGCTATTCGGGCTGGGGCTTCGACGCCAGAAGAAGGAAGTCGTGGTCAATCTGGAGCACAAAATCACAAGAGAGTCTGAAAGAAATGATTTTGATTCCGTCTATTGTAGCCAAAAAGAAAGTCCTATCCGAGATGTCCAACAATAAAACCCAGCACACGAATCCAAACTCGAAGCTCTCCGAAGATGCACCCAAAACTCTGACCGAAAACTCCGACAATGGAACCCAGCCCACGAATCCGACTTTGGAGCCAGCCGAAGATAAAGCCAAAGCCCAAACCCCCAATGAAAATTCAGCCAAGAAAATGCAAGAAGTAGGAATACATGATGGAGTCTTCCCCAAAGGGACCTTCATCATATCAAACCACGCCGATGAGCTCACCCCGTGGACGCCAATCCTCGCCAATCTTTCCGAATCCCCTTTCATGATGATCCCCTGTTGCAGCCATGCCCTTAGTGGAGATCGCTTTCGAGCGCCGCCTCCAAAAAACGCCGGTGCGTCCAGTTCTGCCTATGCCTCTCTCGTTGCTTGGGTGTCGAAGTTGGCGATTGAGTGTGGATGGAAAGTCGAGAAAGAGATGTTGAGGATACCAAGCACTCGAAACACTGCACTGATAGGAAGGCATCGAAATATACCTTTCGGAGATGTCGATACAGTTGATTTGGTGGATGAGAATGGTGGTGCTATTTGCTGGGAAGAAAATGCTCTGAAATTGGTCAAGAGCGCCGCGAGAGGCCATTGTGGCCTTGCGGTACCCGGAGAATCGTAGCTTAGCTCCAGCTCTCTTCGTCCCAATCGACTGTTCTCTTGGGGAGTGAATTCCCCCTTCTAGCCGACCCATTCCAAGCTCTCAATTCGTTCCGCCCGTCAACAATTACATACTCAGGCTCGCTAGGCTCCAGAGTACCATCCTCATCATCGCTGTGCCCGCCGTCCTCCATCTCCTCAGAGAATCTGATATGCTGTTGCTCACTATTCTCTTCAAGCCTTGTCTCCTCCGGTTCCGTGCTGAGATCCTCCGCATTGTCCTCTTCATCCGCGTCTGCCTCTCCACCAGATTTATACGGACACTCTGACCGAGCCTCCAACTTGTCCATAAGACTCATCGATTTTTCCAGTGGAACCTTCGCGCTCTGGAGTTGGGCTGCCAGTATCTCATTTAGTTGTTCGAGCTGTTCGAGACGTCGTTTCTGGTCCTGGAATACTTTCGATACAGCAACACTACTTACTGCCCTCTCCATCCGATGACGTTCTTCCTTTTGCTCGAGCTCTTGGAGCTGTTGTTGCTGGTCCTGGAAGACTTTTGACACGGCAGTACTGCTTTCCGCCGTCTCTCTGCGGAGTTCTTTGAGTTCCATGGCGAATATGGCGACTGCGCATCGAAGTGGTCTAATGACTCTGTCACGGGCTTCGATGGCATCCTGGTGTCTCAGAGTCTTGATCTCAAAGTCTTCGATGATTGACTCCATCTCAGCAGTTTCCTCGTGATTGGCGATTTCTCGAAGTTCCAGCTCTTCTTGATGAAATCCAGCTTGCTTCTCCGCCTCATGCTTGCTCGACTTCTCTGCCTCCAGCTCTTCTTTCAATTGAGCGATTTGAGCAGTCTGGTAGGTCAATGTCGTTTCCAAATTGGTAATATAAGCGATGTTGTCGCGGGCGTTTGAGACACAGGCGGCGGAGTTTTGGTTTTGGTCCTCGACTTGTTTTTGCAGCCTGGAGATTTCGCTCTTCAGTATCTCGCGTTCGCTTTGTGAAGCCAGGTTGATCATCTTCTTGTCCATCTCAAGGGCTTTAATCTTTTTGTTTAACTTATCCTCATTCTTTTCGTACTCATCTCGCATGTATCGTTCGAATGCTTTGAGCCTGGAAATTTCTTTCCGTATCTCGTGTTCGTTCTCTGAGGCCAAGGTGATCATCTCCTTGTCCTTTTCAAGTACTGCAATCCTTTTGTTTAAGTTGTCAATATCTTTCCCATACTCATCTCGGAGGTGTCGTTCAAATGATTTGAGCCCCTTAAGAGTTCTGTTCCCCTCCTCAAATTTGTCGATGTTCTTTTCGTCCTGCTCAATAAGACCCAGAAGCATTTCGTTATCCTGCTCAAGGTCTTTGCTCTTTCTCTGCGCGTTACCGGCATCTTCTCGGTACTCCTTGCTCATGTCGATGTGCTCCTTCCAGAGCCATTCGACCTGTGCCCGAAGAGCTTCGTTCCCTTCCATGAGGACTAAGACATCGATGTTGTCCCACTCGTCACGACATTGAGTGGATTGATTATTGTCAACCTCACGGTTGATGGAATTATTGTTAGTGGCGGCGGTCCTGTGAGGGTCCTGCTCTCTGGGTGGTGTGCAGGAGACTCCATCACAGTGATCATCCGCACAATAGATGCAGTCACCTGGTTGCGGCTCATCTGATGTTTGGACCGATTGAGGGTTGTCAAGGTAATGGAGATAGGCATCCATGTAGCCAGTGGTGGTGGTACGACAAAGATCCTGCTCTCTGGGTGGCGTGCAGGAGAGCCCATCACAGTGATCATCCGCACAATAGATGCAGTCACCTGGTTGGGGCGCATCTGGTATTGGGACTGGTTCTGGTTGGGAGTCGTCAACGTAATTGATGACGCTATCCATACTGTTGGTGGAGGTGTTGTTGTCGCGGCGAGACAACCTGAATGATGAAGCCGAAGAGTGGTCGAGAGTCGGTATGCAATCAGTACGATGATCGAGGTGTGTGGTTAACAAGCACACAAAGTCTTCGAGGAAGTCGACTATTTGAATGATTAAAATTGAAATGCCGACGATGTATAACGGGTCGATGTCGATGTGATTGGAATGGCGATGTGGTGTCTGCTCTTAGGCAGTGATGGTCGAAGTGTGCGAGGGCGACTTGGCACACGGGCCTTTTCGAAAGAAGTTGACTCGTTATATCGAAGCCGAAATGAAGATGATCGAGGTTGTCTGGTCTCTTGACTCGTAAGTCGTGAGGAAAGTCTGTTGTCGAATCTGTAGGATCTGAAATGTGTGTTTTAGAGAGAAAAAGCCTTCCAGTGTGGGCTACCTCCCAAGATAAAAATCCCTCCGTAGTCAGAATCTCAATCGCGCTAGCATAACACTCCTGCTACTCAGTCCAGCACGGAATCCCACAAGACTAGAAGTCTAGCCTCCCACCGTCCCGTCCCGTCCAAAACCCTTTAAAATATGCCATAATTTTCTAGCCTTCCACTATTCCTCCAGGTGTTTCTACCGTAAGAAGCCGGCCCCGTCCTTCCCGCAAACGATTTCCCGGTTCTAATACATTTCGATCCTCGTGGTCATTTAGACTAGCTGTGCAAGAGTGCGGGAAGGAACCTGAAGGAGGTTTAGTTGGAACCATCTGCCCTCGGACCTGGCTTGAATATTTGACCTGTGAGAATTCTACGAGCTTCTGGCGTACCATTTATATCACTCTTTGGTGTGAAGTAAGGTACTGCAAGTGTGGAGCCAATGACGGAGAGGTTGTGAGGCTCACGATGTCGTCGAGAGATGTCGGTGAGAAAGTCTGTTGATCAATCAAGTTTTGGCTTGGTATTTGATTGTTCAAACATCTCATATTGAAAGACTCCAGTCTTGTTCTCAGAGCAGTTGTATTTGGACCTTTCCCGGGGATTGCCCATCGGGAGGGTCTGCCCAGTAACTGCACTAGCTGCACATCCTGAAAAGAGGCTCCTGGTGGACAGAAAAGCGGCACTCATTTTCGATGTCCAAGTTAAACTTGGACATCTATCGAAACTCTCGAGGGAGGTCACCAACTCACGTGGGCGTGACACAAGTATCGCTCAGAGCATCAGACTGCTTCAATGACATCAATGCAGACTTGGCTGAAGACGTCTCCGAATATAGCACACCATCTTACCTCCGATTCTTTGTGTCACGTGCTGCGCACAGGCATATATATAGCTTCTTTACCGCCCTTAGGGCACCATCATTCATACATATTTACACCAACAAACACACATTTCCACTTCCACAGCTTGTCCAGGCCGTGACACTTTGTCACCTGAAGTGTATATAAATAACGGAATTTATTGCCATCTACCGCTGTGTCACGAATCCGTAACTGCCTGTCAACATACTCAGCATTCGCTCATACACAAAAAAGACTTTGAATTGCAATAATCTTCGATCGAAAGAGTGTACATGATTCAAAAGCCGGCTGCCCATGGCAGCTTGATGCCTTAATCCATACGTTTGTGTTCGCCCCTGCCAGATGGTTGAAAACGTTCACGCCAATGCTGAACTATTTCCAGAGACACCGTGAATCGTCTCTCAGGCAGGGCCGAGCGCTATCGGAGAATGATTCTACTTGTGTGTTTTCTGTACTGTCACTCTCGGTATCGATTGGTGATGATGTGCTTTCTTGCCTCACTAGAGTAGGCCCTTCTGCTCTGGATGGCGTTTGGAGGCTGTGCGATTTATCATTCAATTACTTCCATCCCGCCATCGCTGCGTCCCGTTGCAGCATCACGTCAAAGGCTATTTTGCTGACTTCACGTGGTTGTGTCTGCGGCTCCCCAAGCTCCTCCCGAGGCTCGCTGTTTTCATCTTGAGGCTCGTCGTTCTGCTTCTTGAAGTCATGGTTCTCGGTCTGAATGCTGTCGATCCGCATTTTAAGCTCTTCGTTTTGCCTGGTAAGCTGATCCAGTTGCTTTTTCCGGATTCGAAGTGCTGATACCATTACAGCTGCAAACACAGTGGCTTTCAGATCCTTCCTCTTCAGGCTCTTGACCACGCCCCTCAAGGGTCTCAGTTCTGAGTTATCTTGATCGGCTTCGTCAAGCTGGTGCTCCTTCGTTCGAAGGATCCCTCGAAGCCTGGCTGCTTCTTCGCTTGCCTTGATTTCTATCTCCGGTCTAATAGTTCGAAGCTCCATTTTGAGTCGGGCATTTTCTTTTCGAAGTTTGGCAATTTCGTCCGCTGCAGCGGTCGACATCGACGCTTTAGATCCATCAACGAGCTTCTCCTGGAGATCTTTGATTTGGGTTTTCAGGACCCTGATCTCGCCGAGTTGGGGTTCATACAACTTCCCGGTCAGCGTGGTGAGAGCTTTTCTGGCGTTATTCAACTCGTTTCTGAGCCGATTTACTTCAATGTTGGCGGAATCCTCGTGCATCTCAGCAGCTCTTGCACTCATGTCAGCATCTTTTAAATTGGGTTCATAATAGGCTACAAGATTGTTCCGATCTTGCTGTACAAATGTAAGGAGATTGGCCAATGGATCCGCATGATATTGATTGGCGAATTGGTCGAGGGCATAAGGTAGATCATGGGAAGCTTCCTCACCAAGTCCACGACTAGCTATGCTATCCATTGCCTCTACAAGAGCATCGGGGGACAGCTGGTTCTGATGGGTGATATCCAGCAGCGGGCCCCGGTTGTCGACTGCAATGGTGCCGGTGCTTCGTTCTCCATGCTCTGGCTGCTGTGTCTCTTGTAGAAATTGTAGAAGGGTGATATCTTGGCCAGTTTCGGTCCACTGCGCTGAAAGAGCTGGCGGAGGAAGGAGAGTAGGGCCTTCACAACTTGACGTCGCCATGATGGGAAATGTTTGATTGATTCCATATGTGTTGGCCTGGCTAGTACATTGTGGCGCTGCTGAAGCGGTTTGATTAACAGTCGGGACATAGTGGTTTTCCTGGCGAGGTAAGAGTTTGAATTCCGGGGCTGTTGGAGAGAGCTTTTGTGCTGAGCCCGTAGTTTGGCCAATTTCACTGGCAGCGGCGACATGTGGATTGTACGCCATATTGTCGGGATTGGAAACGCAAATGGGGTTTGAATTTGGCTTGTTCCTGTCCTGGTTGGAAGGAGAAGGAGGGCGGGTCCATGCTGTCTTTCGATTGTACTTGGTGTCCTTGGAAGATTGAGGTGTGTTACCTGCGCACGCTTTAGTTCTTGCTTGCATCGAAAAGTTTGTGTGAAGGAAGACAAGAAAGAAATGGTGGTGTTTTGAGGGATATTGTATTGTACAGAGGGAGAGCTATGCAGTCAAGATAACAATGGACTCACCTTTCCAGCTCTGGCTTATCATCGGTTCCATCGGATTTTAGCTTCAAGATCTTACAACCGAAAACAATGCCGAGTCCTTTCTTGTTCATCCCTCCCGGCATTTGTCATCGTCCGTGGAAACATTCAGCGCCCAAGTCGGCGAAAGAACTTTCCCCTTTGAGTCGAAGCCCAAAGGGAGGCGATGGGGGCTCAGGTACGCCATTGCCAATATCCCAGAATATTGCGGTACTTTCAGTTAAGGTTGCTTTAGTTCGTCGCCACCGTGCCACAGATGAAAGCGATTGAACAGTGCGCAGCTTGGACAACGATGAACCTGGTGTTGATGTGGGCGATAGATATTGATATCGATATGGATTGAAAGCGAATGTTATGCGTAGCAGCGAGCGTTGTGGTATGTCTGGATAGCCAGTGAAGTCTCCTTTTTCGTTACTGCTGTTTAGTCTTGGAAGGTTGGAAACAATTGTCTTTCCTCGAATTCCTTCCTTCAATGACATCCCCCCCATCCAGTGACGGAAGGAGCGATCTCGCCATCACGGTCACCTCACTACTTCTTTCTGCTCCAAGTTGATTAATTCTCATCAACATCGCATCTGGTTTGCCAGAATTTTTCTCTGCCAGCCTCCACACGACATAATCCATCCAGTTAATGAGTATTTCCCCGAAAATTCAAGCTGTGTCGTCCTGTTCCACACTCTGGATTCGCTTTCCGTTATACTGCAGTGTCGACACAGCAATGTCTACAGATCCTTCTCTCGCCGATTCCATGTAGCAGTCAGAATGACCAAGGCCACAGCCAGAACATGCCTCCCCGTCTTGGGTCTCGCATACAATGGCTTTCTCGCCTTTGTAGATATATTGGCTATTCAACAGCTTTGGAGGAGTCACCAGACCCATCTTCAGAGGACCCAATTCCTGAAAGAATACGCAGCATGGGATCAATGGCGTGAGGAGGTCTACAGAATGTATAGAGACAACGAGTATAAGCAGTACGACAGAGAAAGGAGACAAGCCGTAGCGGAGAAAAGTTGATACGAAGTACAGCTAAGGTTGCTCAAATAGTGGGAGGAGTTGGCTGAAGTGGAGAAGCAACAGGAAGAGGCAAAGGAGTGGTTCGGAGGTAGCGAAAACAAGATCTGATTGAAATTGCATGCGTCGGGGACATGCGCAGTACAGAGCGCAGGGTGAGAGAAGATCCGAAGGCAGCTAGCAGTATGGATATCCGGGGGACCGAAGGAAGAAATCTGATACTGTGAAAAGATCAGGGGGTGAGAATGAGGTGGAAGTTATTAAAATCCGGAGACCGAAGAAGGGGATCGAAGTGGATTGGTATGCTTTTCTTGGTCTTTCCACGCAGAGCAAGGCCCGCAGAGTAGACTTAGCTTTTGCGAAATTTATGCTCTCTATTCTGCTCACTTTTCTCCACCTCGCATCTCCACCACTCTCCACTCTCGACTCACAACCCGTGACCTTCGCCAAAAGAATTGACCTTTATGAGACTAAATATGGAAAATTACAATCGCCTACACGACTGGCAATGGGTAAGCATTTACACCATGCCCCCAGTTCGGCAACACTAACACCAAAGGTCATGGCTAAAACAGGCATCAATGACACCATGAACCCCGACACTCTCACCAAAGATCATGGCTAAAACAGGCATCAATGACACCATGAATCTCGACTCCAGCAAGGGCCAGAGAATACAGCCTAATAGACACTCTGAGCCTCGACTTCGACAAAAGATGTAGGATCCCGTCAACGCCACGGAAAATCTGAACTTTTGTTATTTGAATCAAATAATTAATAATAATAATAATTTTTTTGCCTCTTGCAAGGAAGGGGATCTTGTGTTTACATTTTTGAGCCCCTGCCAAGACTCGTCTAAAAAGTGGGTCGTTGACAGCAACGGTAAATAAGGTAATGAGAAGTTGTACGATTAAAATTTTGCTAGTAAGCTTTTCAATATTCATAGCCAGGGCAAACCAATCTACAAAAGGCCGCCAGCCTAAGCAACATTCAATAATCGGGCCACTGATCAACCAACGTCTCCTCCGGATCTCCTCGCAGCCCTCCAGATTCGTCCTCGTACTCAACCTAACATATTTCATCTCCACATTTCTCACACATTCTCCCCCGAGTCTTCCAATATCACTCTCTCCTCCAAACGGATGGTGGTGTGCGAAAATCGGCGGCTGGCTGGTGATACACTTCCTCTGCTCCCTCTTCCTCTGTCATCTGTCACGTGCTGCGCACATGCATGTATATAGCTTCTTCACCGCCCTTAGGGCACCATCATTCCTTACAACATATACAAATAGACCCACTTTCCACTTCCACAGCTTATCCAGGCAGTGACATCATCCGTCGTCGCAACTATCTTCTCCTTCTCCCTTACTCCACCAAGACCACCATCCTCAGAAGGGGGGCTTGATGGAATCTGTTCAGTTTCGACAGCGAGTCCTCCATCGAGTGACTCTTGAGGAGTGGACGATGGAACGAGGGCCGTTGTAGGCTGCATGGCAAAACCATCCCCAGCACACCAATCGCCCATTTCGACGTCCCAGACACGACTCCACTTCTTGATTCCGAACTTGTGCAACAACCTCCTGGCTCCGCGTTGGCTTACTTCGCATGCGACGGTGCAGAGCGCACCCCCTGAAGCGCGGTGGTAGACTCGCGTGTGCGGTTCATGCGTCTCGCCCAATGCATCGAGAGGGCCGAACGGATGGGCACGGAGATGACCGGGCATTGGGACTGTTGGGTCATTTGGATCTGCGAGGAGGATGTTGTGTCTCCCAATAGAGGACTCGGTATCAGCAGGCTGTCTCGGAAATCCTGCACCGCAATATCCCAGCCAAAGGATATCCCAGTTCTCGGGATCACCGTATGGAGATATCTTCGGATCACGATGCTGGACATCCATCATTGCGGCGGGCAGGGAGACGGAATGCAGTTCTTTGGAGATAGGATTTAGGTAGGAGGAGTTATGGATGCTGTTTTCTGCTACTCGCGGTTCTGTGTTACGTCAATGGAGTAGTGGGATATATCTTTTGAAGTTGCAGGGTCGTCTGATAACCAGCGGGAGCTGAGGGCAAAGGCTTGGAGTTGAGGTCGCAACCGGATATCCCAGTCTACGTCGTCTTCGAAGATCAAAACTGTGGAGAGGTTCTGGAATACTACCCTATTCTTGGATTAGCATCTCAGCCAAGTTTTCATTGAGGCGGCGGACTCACTGTTTCAGAGCATTCATATCTGATCTCCAGCTCCCCTTGATTCCTTTGTCCAGTTTTAGGCTTTCTGTCTGACCACCAGGCGGTAGCGCATCTTCCAGTATGCTTTCTCTTCGCGCTCCCATCACGAACTCGACGTTCATATTGCTGATTGCTGCAGCAAGGATGACGGCATCTCGACGATCGGTTCGCTCCGACATATTAATAACGAGAAGTTTTTGGAACTGCAACTTCTTTAGCAATCATCCTCAAAATAATCCCCACCTCCTCGGTTATTATTTGTCATATTTCCCTCGACATATGACCATCTGAGAGCTCCAGCTGAGCTGGAGCTCACCAATGCCCCGCATGGCCAAGATCAGAACAGCAACGAAACTCACCAACTAACCCCAAGCGTCTCATTCAACACTGCCTTCAAGCTCTCGTCAATCACCTCCCCTTTCTTCCAAACTTCTCTTTCCACGGCCGCGGCATACCACCCATAAACACAGCATAGTACGCCGAACTCAGAACTGCGACCGAGGCCAGAACCCGAGGTCTGAGACCCACCGATTGAAGGCCATTAACACCATTATTTCTCCATTCTCAGCCCCAAACGTTACGCTCAATACAATCACAACTCACTGGGCGGGAAAAGAGCTACAGAAGGGGCTGGAGGCAAAGATCAGGAAGATGAGAAAGCAGAGAGGGAGAAGTGGTACGGACATGGCATGGCAAGTGCACGTAAATGATGGTTACGCAAGCCTCCACTTTGCGAGCAGGAAGGGAAGGGAAGATAAGATAGAATATAGGCTGAAAGAGGGGACAAGGACGGACACGTCTCCATTTTGCATGCCGAGCTTTCCGTAAATACTGTACACGGACTGGGCATTCTTTCGGGATTTGAGAAAGCCATTTGGATATTTTTAATTGAGATGCGACAGAGGCTGTTGCATGGGTAATCGCGGGCAATTCGGACCGTGTAAATATTTGGAGGGGGTGGTGCGTCGCTGCAGGGGAGGAAAATGGTTTTGCCGAGGAGGTTAATGAGGGGTGAGGTGAGATAGGGGGTGGAGCACGTGACCAGATGAGCTGGCACGTGTGATTGGAAAGGTTAAAAAGGACGTAACGTTTCCATTCCTGCACGTTCGGGCCCTTTAATAGGCTCGAACGAGCTTACGTGATTCCACGTGTAATTAGATTACGTATAAAAGCATGATCAGAAATTATATTCTCCCCTACTTAAAAGCAAACTTACTCCTGAAGTTCATATAAAAAGAGAGAATATTAAAACTATTTACTATAATTCTGTATTAATCGAATCCCTTTTTATAAAAGAAAATTATAAGGCTCCTTAAATAGCTTCCTTTTATCCCAAGGTTCTTTTATCCGAGAGAGTTCTTGCTATTACTTCTTTTATATACTAAACCGGATAAAAAGAGTCTATTTTCATATATTTTGGATTTATATTATACTTGTGCCTTTCTTTTCTGGCTCTTGCCAGATTCATTTAAGTATAACCAAGGTTCGTTTATATTAGGAAGATTTATTTAAGTATATTCTAAGTAGTTCTGTCTTAGTAATTTCTATTAAATAAGCTAATTAGAGCTCTAGAAATTCGCCTAAGCAAGTATAAGAAAGCCTCTTTTACTTATTTATAATTTTCCCTTCTTTTTATTAATAACCTCTATACTACTAATTTAAGTCTTTATATTTCAATTACTTTATAAGTTTTCTAAGATTCTTTATATACTATTTCCTTTTTCCTTAAACTATTTCCTAATTTAATTACTTACTTGTATTTACTTCTTATTTTCTTCTCTTTTCCCTTTTAGCTTCTAGCTTTTAGCTTTATATATAAGTTAGTACTATAAAGCTTCTTTATTTTTTTCTTATTCTCTTAGTTTATATCTATATTACTTTTATGGCTAATATAAATATTACTTCTAGTAATTATACTATAGGTTTTAGAGATAATAGTTCTAGTAATAAAGGCAAGTTTCCTTATTATCCTAGTATAATTAGTAAATATAAGGGTTCTATAAGTTATATATTCTAGTTTCTTATTTAGAACTAATTTTATATAAAAAAAAAGCTAAGCTAGTAAGAAATTAAGATTAAGATTATTTTTTAAATAATTTATTTAAAGGCTTCTTACTAGCTTTATATAAATATCCAAGTTTATTAAGAACTTAGCTAGTATAAGAAGAAGTTAATTAATTTCCGTAATTATTTCTTTATACCTAAAGCTAGTTTTCTTTAGATTATGAGACTAGTAAATAATTAAAAGTATACTTAATATAAGAGAGAATCTAGCCTATTTTCCTAATATATTTCTTTTTACGAGTTCTTAAGTAATAAGATTCCTAATTCTTTTACTATTTTTTTTTTTCTATTTAGTAACTTTTATATTAATTATTATTAAAATAGCTAAGGTTCTTTATATTCTCTTTATCCGGGCAGAAATATATTTCTCTCTTTAATTTTTTCTTTAGTTTAGGCTAAGTTCTGGCTCTAGCTTCTATTTCTCCTTATTATATTTATATGCCTTTATATTAAAACACTTTATATAATTATACTTGAGTCGAATCTCAATTTAATTTAAATATTCCTAATAATATTAAAGTAGTTATAAATAAATAGTAAGGTATTATTAATATCTTTTAATATTAAGGAAATCTTCTTACTTTAGGTTATATAGTTCCTAATATTAGAAAAGACTTTTCTTCTAATAATAATAATAATTAGGTTATCTCGGGTAATAAAAATATATTTAATTTAGGAAATCTAGTAATAAGTTCTTATTTTTTTTAATTATAAACGGGCTCTATTTCTTAAATAAAAATAAGTAAATATATTTACTTTAATTCGAGTAATTTCTAATTAGAAGAATCTATAGCTTTTATAATAGCTAGTTATTCTCATAGCTATATTTAATTCTATTCTAATAAATCTATTATAAATATATAATCTAGTAATATATAAATTTAGCTATTATCTTATCCGGGTACTAGAAATTATCCTAGTACTTCTAATTCTTCTTATTTATAGCCTAGATCTCTTATAAACTTGGGTTCTTATTCTAGATCTCCTAAATTCTTTAATTTTAATTATAATTAAGCTCCTAAAGCTTTATTTAGAGATTCTTTAGTTTATTTTTAGTATTTGTCTAGCCCAAGTAATTAAGGATTTTCCTTATATCTATAAGCTTCTTCTAATTTATATAAGAACTTTAAAACTAAAAGTAATTAGGATAATTATTAATTTTCTAGTTCTAGTTCTAGTAAAAAGAAATATTATTAAGTATTTATATATGAGACTAGTAAAGAATATATTAGGGGTTTTAGGACTTTTAAAAAGCATATATATAGTACTAGTAAAGAATCTAGTAATTAGGAAAGTAAATATCTGGGCTAAAGGCTATTTACTTAGAGTTCTTAGGTTTCGCTCATAATAATTTCTTATAAAAAGAATATAAAATAGTCTTATAAATATATATAATATTTACTTAATTTATTATATAGTTTTTTATAAAAAAATAAAGTTCTTATTCTTAAGTACTATATTTTTCAAATACTATAATTAGTTCTATTCTTATTTTTTATAGAAATTAAGGATTTCCTTAATCTATAACTTATATAAGTTCTTTACCTAGTTTTCCTAGCTAGGAAAGATTTTGGTTTAGTTACTTATATATTTAGTAATTTTTTATTACTTTAAAAGATTTCTTTAAATATTTTCTTTTTCTTTTTATTAGCTATAGAAGCTTAACTTTCTTAGCTTTATTTAAAATAATTACTATTACCTTAAGAACTTTATTCGAGGACTTCTTTTTTATAATAGGCTTTATAATTATAGATTCTAGTATCTAGCTTAGTAAAACCAAAATATTATATATAGGTAAATATATGATTTTATTCTTTTATATAGATCTATTTCTTTCTATTTCCGGATACTTTATTAATTTATTAATTAGGAGCTTTAAATATATTCTAAGAGAAATTACTATTGGAATTTATAACTAGCTTTTAAGTATTTAATTAAGGCTTGAGCGGGCCTATTCTAGAGAAATATAAAAAGATAAGAAAGCTAAAGAAAGAGGGAATTCCTTAACTAATTCTCGCTTGGCCTTTTTTCTTTCTAGCTTTTCTTTATATTTTATTCTTAATTAAAGCTTATTAAAAAAAACTTAATTAATATAAGTATTACTAAGTTTTCTCTTTCCTAATTTAAACTAATCTAGCTTCTAGATTAGGAGATCTAACTATTCTCGTTTATAAAAAGTTTCTAATTCCTTATAAAAATATATAGGAACTTTTTCCTATTTAAATATATCTCAAATATCTTTTAAGGAATTAACTAAGTTATAAAGTTTATATAACTAGTTAAAGTTATATACTATATTCTAATTCCTAGTTTCCTTATTAATTATATTTAAATATAATTATATAAGTTAATTTCCATAAATAAGAAATTTAAAAATCTTTTTATAAGTATTTTATAAATTATATATTCTAATTAAAATAGTAAATATAATCTTATATAGGCCAAACTACTTTAATTTGAATTTTAATAGGAATTTGTTTTATATAAGAATATAGGTTCTTACTAGAATATTCTTATTTTTCTTAAAAATTTAATCCTATATAATATATATTTTAATAGTTCTTTTTACTAAGAATTTATTATATACTAGTTAAGCTTTATTTATAATAATATATCTAGTAATTATTTCTTCTAAATAAGCTTTTTAATTACTTACTAGCTCGGCTTTATTCGAATTTTTAGGAAGTTTTAGATTTACTTTAAATAGGAGAAAAAATAAATTATATTTACTAATTAAATAAATTCTAATTTATATAATAAAAAGTACTTAATATAAGTACTTATTCTAGAATATAACTAGCTTACTATATAAATACTATATAAGTATTTTCCTTAGTATTTTATTAAATTACTCGACTTTCTTATTAGTTTATAGATAATATAAAGTAATTATATAATACTAGATTCTTATTATCTAAAGAAAGATATTTATAGTTTCTAATACTAAGTTAGAACTATTATTTATAAGAATCTTATTTGAAGTTCTATAAATAGTAAAAATCTCTTCTTAAATAAAATTTATTATACTTTAGCTTATAATATCTTTTAGTACTTAAATAATAGGCTAGCCTATTAACTATTTAATAGCTATAATAATTTATTAGTTTCTAGAATAGGTTCGGGGCAAAATTCTAATTAAATTAAT